CTGATAAAAAGAAATATGAGAATGTCCCCGATTTTCACGATTGGTTTTTGCAATATCAGGCCGAACCCTTCCGAAATCATTTGATAGCTGCTGTGAGAATCCAAGTCAACTATGTTAATCGAGATAGAACAGCTCGTCTATTTTAATAACGATAATGAAGCGATCAATCATGTTTTCAAAAACGAAACTAATTGGGAATTAAGACCATTATCAGATATGATTGATCTCCTAGGTCGATGCATTACAGCTCAAAAGAATGAAGCAATCAGGGCAATGTACGACGGTGGCGAACTAGAGTTAGTAGCTGCATACACAAGGTAATCTTTTATTATTTCTTATTTGAAGTTCTCCAAGTTAAAATCTACTTATAGGTTTGTTCATGATAGTCGTGTATGGTCCAGGAAGACTGCTGAGGAACGTCAAAGTGTTATTTCGAGTTATTATTCCTATAAACCGCCAGTTTCTCGGACAACAACGCTGTTTAATATTTCATCAAGAGCAGGGCGTAAACCCGGCAAATCTGCTGCACGTGGGACAACTACCACCAGAAAAAGAAAAGGTAATGTTATTTCCATTTAGCTACACAAACGTTAGTCATCTTCAGATTCGCACAGCAGAAGTAACCAAATTGTTCATGTTTTGTTGCTATCCTGATAACTATAACACAGTATTTGTGATCTACGATTCTCGATTGATCAAGTCCCTACCAAAAATTGTTTTTTTCGCTAAATAAATCGTTTTCATAATTAACAGATGTAATATACATAATCAGGAGCTTTGAACTTGTATATCTAGATGTACTGTGATTTGGATATCAATAAAAAGCTTTTAGCATTAAGTGATGTTCCTCGGATGAAGTATGTAGACCCTAAATATGTGATGTACGTACGTTTCTATAGGTAACTCAGCGTCCTGAATAATGTGGAGATGATCAGCAGATGCAAATACGCGTCCATCTGGGTGTTGGTGGATGTTGGCGAAAGTATTTCGTTCAGTGTACCTCAGGTGTAGGTCCAAGTGGGTGTTGGTGGATGTTGATGTAGGGTTATCTGACGCGCTCTATCGATCTAGGATAGTCCCGGGCAATTTGGGGGCGTTGGTGGATGATGGCGTAGTTTACAAATACCCGTTCACGACGTTTTTTTATCCCCTGTAGTTATGATCTTAATTAAATAAATAATGGCAATAGTTATGATCTTAACTTTGCTTAGTGGAGCCCAGTTATCATCTTGGAGCCGCTATATATAATCTTAAAATCGTTCAGGGTCTTATTTATGATCTTAGTTTCAATTAGTAGATTTTTGATTATGGCGTAATCGAGACAGTCGTGACGAATTCAGATTTATTAATTATTACAAAACCAAACTCAAGAGTCAGTAGTCGGGAAAAGTTTGATATTTTATCCCTAAATCCGACTGCTCTGACAAGATTTTTTAACAGTTTTTAGCCAATTAAAAGTTGATTTTTTCGTTATGCAGTCAATAGGCTATGCATGAGTTATTAAATGTCACTATTCGTTGACTTGGCAATACATGAAATTAAAGTATGAAGATTATTGCCTCGTCATTCAGAAGTCAAGCTCCTGCAAATAGATTTCGAGACATCTTTATTGAGTAGTAAACTACGAATCGCCACTCAAATTTCTTCTTCGTGCATGTAAACGAAACGAATTGCGGTTTTAACGTTAGATTTTTCTTTCTTACGTTCACGAACATCACGTTGACGACGCGTTTTTCTTAATTGTTTCGCTCGTTGCTGATTACCACTCGGATCGATACCAAATAAATATCTGGCACCATCCAACGATAAAATAAGTAAAACCACAAAACAAATAGACACTATGGCTATATATCCCAACGATCGACGTGTAGCCTGTGCAACTTGTAAACTTGTCGAGCGATACTCACAAAATCGCCCAGAGTAATCTTCTGTTAAGCATAAACACAAGAAATTCATATGTCCAGGAGCGCATATAGCATTATTTTGACACGTAGCATTCTCACCTAAAAAGAAGTATTAATTATCTTTCGAAAGAATCACGACAAACTTACAGAAATTGATCATCCATTCGCAATTTTTGCCATACCATCCTTCTGAACAATTACAGTTGAACGTGGTATTGTCGATTTCCAAACACACACCTTTATGTAGACATGTCAACGGTGTGCACGGACGGTAGTCTAATTCACAATTAGTGCCGTTGAATTGTGGTAGGCAATCACATCGATATCCGAGAGGAAATAAGATGCTGTTAGTACATGCTCCACCGTTGACGCATGGATGAAGAACGGTACACGAATCGAATGCGAGACTACAGTTGGTGCCGATATTATCATTACTACAATTTGGAGCCATAAAACTGTCTAGATGATTTGAAATAAACGTCACGTTTTGCTGGCTGAACATTGTTGTTCCTACAAAGTTATTTGGTGTGGATGATATAAGACTTGTCAACGTCCATTCTGGCGATGAAGTCGTTGTAGCTGTTAATTTAATGAAAACAAAAAATTAGTGTACATGTTCACTTAAATAGTTTCTGGGGCACTTTGGCTGATATAAGTTATCCTCAAGAGATTTTCACAAAATAAGTGTAAAAATAACCCTAATACTCTTCAATCACTTTCCACTCACTCTATTCATTATTTTAAAACTGCAAGATTGAGAAAAATCAGGTATGACGAAAGACGGATGTGCTATTGTTAGTTCAACACTATTCATTATTGCTGCAATATTTAAAAATTTCACTACAATAATGCAGTAAGTGATGTTTTCGACTACTTACTATTATAAGTTGAACAATTAAAGTATGCTAAAATTTCTATTTGTATTCCACTAGGTGGTTGAGCATTCGGCAATGTGTTTAGCAATTGCAACTGAATACCAAAAACTGTAAAATTCAATAACGGATAACTGATATTTGGATTATCTACACTATTGCGGCCAATTGATGTTAGTGTTCGGTTCTCATCCGTTATAAATGAAGCGTTTGAATAATAAAATTGCAGTTGTATTTGAAATGTATCATTATCATCATCGGTTGAAATGCTAATTTTCGAAATATTAAATGAAACTTTAAAGAAAATATTAATAATACACGGCCAATCGGTACAATTAAAACCTTTGTTTTCTTCGAGTAGCAAGTAATTTGACTTTTGTGAGTCATTTGTAGATACATTTAGATTTTCAACAAGATTCATATTGTCCAAGATATTATCACAGTCTCTCAGACATTCATATTCTAGAACACAATGATATGATGCTAGACAAGATTATTTTTTGCAAGCATGATAAAAGAGATAACTTATTATAGTTAAGATAAGTCCCATTCTTTGAGAATTTTAAAAATCTTCCCAGGTAAGATACTGTAATGGTTGCAAATTAGATGAAGTAAGGTAAGATGAAATGTTTTTTCCTTTATATAGATTTTCCTCTATGGTAAAATGATTTATAAAAAGAGCCCAAGTATGATGATTCATTTTATGAAAATAGATGCTGTTTTCTTTGTTGTTATTAATATAGTAAACATTATGTGAACCATGTGCCATTAAACAATTATCGACTCGATATATATACCGCATGTTTTATTCTGTGGATGTTTATGTAAAGGATGGATAACGTTTCAAAAATCTCATCAATATCGTAGATGCGGCCAGAAGAGTGTTGCTTGAGAGCGAGTCTCTCGGAAGTATTATATAATCTATAGCACATTTTCAGATGAGAAGAAATAGAGTATCATTATGTAGTCCACATTCCTCGTTATGCAGTATCCTACTTTTCTGATTAGTATTTATGTTTTAGAATAAGATGGATGAATCATAGAGTAAGATAGATGGAATAAGATGCAATTTTTCTCCAGCGTTAAAAGTATATTGTCTCGAGACCGAACGTACAGTTCAGCAACTCGTAGTGAATATCTCACATACTGGATGTAATTCATGTCAATATGAGTAGTTAGGTATGCTGAGAAAACATTCTTTTATGATCACCAAAGCATTAGACAAAATAAAGTAACTAAACGAACAATATACAGTTATGGGCGATTTAAATGCCATCCAAGTAGACTTGTCAGAGAAAAGGGAATTTTTTCTGCTCTCTGATTTATTCAATCACTCACCGCAAACAATAATAGTTGATTCCATAATGGCTTGATAACAATTTATAAAGTCAATTAAATTGAACGAGATATAGTTAGCTAACGTACATGTAGGAAAGGTGATCGTTGATGAATTTGCTATGATATCATAATCATAACCATACAATGTATTTACATGCACCTGGTAAAAATCAGTTAAACATTCAAAGGGCAATGTGAGATTCCACAGTGCTAATGATTTATTAAAATTTATTTCAACTTGTTCAGTTGTATTCGTTATTGAAAAATAGTCCGGATAAACTGAGATATTGTTAAATTGTTTTATATAGGTGTTTGCTCGAATCGGAAAACTATAAAAGTAAGAAAGAATATCAATGATTTATCATACAATACATATGCATGTGCCTTTGGTAGTATGATACTTACAGAAAAACAGTCACAGTGTGAATTAATAAAAATAATGAGTACATATCGATGATGCAGTTTGTTTAGAAGACAGCAACGTGTTAACAAAAAATTCTGAAAAGGTCAATACCAGTACGCCTAATAGTTGAATAAATTTAAATACTATTTACAAAAAGCAACGGCTTTTGAAAAGCTGAGTTCAGGCAAGCTTTAGATTTCGATTTCGTAAGAAAAAAACTATATGATATGTTCAGTCATTCAATCGGTTACTGTCTTCATTAAGATTATTTACTAAATAAGCAATGCGCTCATTTTGGTCTTTGTCTCTTCGGATGGGAAAATTGTTTTAGAACAGCACTATTAATAGCCGGTGAATTAATAAACACCTGAGAAGAAATGAATTATGTAGTTGTTACATCTTACACACATGAATATAAAAAAACGGTATCAGAAGTTTTACTTTTAGGATTGCAAAGATTTTTCAACAGAATAGGATTTACTGCTCTGAATAAATGGAAACAATGGCATTTGAAGAGTGTGTTGTTTATCTTGAAAGTGATGGTAGTTTGAAAAAAAACGGTGCAATGTCTTTGAACAGAATGGCCAATAAATAGTTTTATCAGTCAAAAGAATAAAGAATTTGAAACAGTGCTTATTTCTCATGAATTTCTAGACATATTCGAGAAAATTGAAAATTACATATTTTTTCTTAATGAAAAAGTTTTTCAACTATTTATTTTATTTTGAAGAAATGCACAAAAAGTCTAGAGTCACGTAAGATACGTTGGACAAAAAAAGGGCACATCAATCTTCTCACATAGTACTGATAAACTTCAGACGGTAATGCTTCTTAATATTGATCAAGTTACTACACACGCAAGAGCAAATGAGTGCTTAATTCGTAAATCTTATGAAACTCCTGAAAATGAATTCTATGGTATCAGGCATATGTTATAACAGACATAGAGTTAGTTCATTTACAAAATGTTACGCACTAATAGAGCTGCCATTTTTTCATCGTCACTTTGTTGATGGTGGCTTATTTTCAACGCAACTAAGAGATATCATTCAAAGATTCATATGCGTTCTTGTTCAACTCGATCAGCTCTATTGTTTTCTCATAAATGCTTTGTTTCCGAGGTATTGGCCATTTTTTTGTTCTAGTTTCTAAAACCGGACAAAAAAAGGTGAAAACGTCTCCTTTTTAACAGTGACCTTTTGTCAGGACGCGTAGAAATTCTCATTTTTTGAAGTAATGTCCTCCTTCTCTGATGTAAATATGTTTGGTAATAAGACATGAAAACACAATTTATTGCTGGCACTGACACAAAGAAGGATACAAGTAACACTACGTAACATTTTTCTCAATTAAAAAATAGTAAACTATATAGGATTGATAGGACTATCATTTCATGATGCACACGATATGTAAATATAGTTTCTGTATCTTTGGCTACTCACTATTCTACATTAAAATCTCGAGAGAGTCGATTTCACTATATGTTGGCTCTCATTCTTTCATGTATGACTGAGAACAATCAAAATTTTCTCTGTTGGAAATGAATAAGTCTTCCTTCGCTCTCCATCCAGTCGGCTGAATGGTCGATATCTCTCTATAACACAACTATTTGACATAACAAAGAATTGCACAAATAACAGAAATGGAAACAAAATGTTATATCGAGTCATTTTTCAAAAGAATTCTTGTTACAGAATAATACGAAAAGTACCGATGAAAATATACTAAAACGATTTCGATTAATTTTACTCAATAGTATCGCAAAATCGAATAAATGTAAAATATAAAAACTAAGTTAAATTTCAGTTGTAGAAAATGTTAAGAAAATCGAAATCATTTTTAGTCTGAAAAGAATCAAACAAAATTAGATGAAAATTGTGTAATGATAACAAATAAAATTTAGAAAAAGATAATTGTTACTGTAGTCAATCACCATTTTGAATAGTGATTTTCTACTACTCCAAATGCATTTGTTATTGTATATACTTCATTCTTATTTATTTGAATTGTACCATTAAATCTACCATAGGGTTGTACAAAATGCGCAACGAGTATAATTACATTAAGATGTTTTTCTTTACTTCCTAACGGTTCAAATGTTAACTGAACATTAATATTATCTATGTCGTTGCTGCCGCTAGTATCATCGCTATGAATGTTCCAATATTTAGTTGTTTGAAATTGTTCTTCAGGTAAGTCATAAATTATTTTCCCGATGGAAAATACTTTACCATCAATCCTAGAAGAAACACATTATATATGAGAGAATAAAATCAATTAGACTGTGGATTTTTGAAATTACCATAACGCATTCTCCATTGATACACCTTGATCGTCATTATATATGTCGGCCGAAAAGTTAATACCCAACACAACAGTTTCACCATTAGCAGTATTTGTTGCTTCTGTCGATAGACATGTCCTCAATAAATAGGTTAACACAATTAGAAAACATTGGTATACTTTTGTTGAAAGAGAAAGAAAATAATCGATGCAGTATGATGGTATGGAGATTACTATAGTGTGATTCAAAAATTAAGATTTAGATCGTATATCTCACCATTTCCACTTTGATATTCTTTCTGCGTAGGCTAATGTCCAATCTATATTTCCTAATCCACTAAGAGATTGTTCTTCATTATTAATTTTTATTTTGCCCGTAATCGGTAGACCCATAGCTTTATGAGTATAAGCAGGTCGATCTGGTTGAATAGGATAGAGCAACGCCATTGATTCACTTTTAGATAAAAACATTTCCACTGATAATGATATTTGAAGATTATCTGAAGTAAATTTTGTTCTAATACGGTAACTGTCTTGTTCGTAACACAAGTCAATATATTCGTTTGATGATTTGAAATATTGCGTACACCCATGTATGGATGATGTTGTTTTTTGTTTAATGGCTAAAGCCAATGGTGAATCTGATGAATATGTAATAATATTTCGACTTGTTTTATCGACAATGTACACAAAGCCATTCGCAAAATAATTTAAATTAGCTACAGCCAAACTGATGAAGTATGTATCAGTTGAAAATGATGAAAAATGCCAATTTTTAAGAGAAAAATAACTTGAATAAGGTAACCACGAAACATTTAAGTTAGGAAATGGTTGCTTATATCTACCATATGGCAATGGAAGATTTGCTAACGAATAATCCTCTGGTAACGATTCCTGTAACGGTCCTAAATGCTTCGGTTTCGGAGATGTTTCATAGTTATCTGTTATCAAAAACACAGCTAGAAGAGCTCCGATGATTGGTAAAATGAAGGAAAGACATTTTTTCATTATGAGAAAAAAAATTGAAAAAAATATCAGAAATTTGTTTTATAAAACAACTGAAGGTCACTGTAAGACACACTTTCCAACAGTGTCACATGGGTTGCATAACTTTTTTTTGTTTCTTTACGTCATTATTTACTTTGCTTTTTAAGGTAGACAACTATACGTTTAACGAAGTGTAATCTTTTTAAAAAAATGTTCGACGACGCACTAGTTCACACACACACACACAATGTGAAACTCTCACATTGTGTGAACTCAAGCGTGTGATAAGTCAGACATTTCTACTACCAAAACGAAGTGAAACTGTTGCATGAACACGAATATCAGTTTGTGCATAAAATGTTGACGACTTTTTCTCCACTTTAAGACAGTTTCTGATTGATCCAAAGAAATGTTTTATAATGTTCAAAAGACGAACTTTACGAATATATGCTTGAATTTGTGACCGGCTTTAGTTTCGGAGAAATCGACAGTTTTCTGAAAGTCGACTCGAGATCTCGACAAAGTCTGAAGAGACTTTTTTCATCTTTTTCGACGATTATTCCATCACTGCGAGACGGTCTGAAAAAAGTTGGGTATACAGACTTTTAGTGCAAACATTTCTCTATAAAACTGAATAACTGCAAAATTTTAAAGAAGCAAAATAGAGCAAATTATAGGAATTTTCAAAATAGCAGCGATATATTTTTTGCAGTTTTGAGAAAAACAATGAAAAATATCTACAGTTGCATCTGTTGTGCGCTTCATAACATTTAAGCTTTTCATTAAAAAATTAATTTTAATATTGAATTTGATAGAGAAATGTTTGCACTCAAAGTCTGTATACCCAACTTTTTTCAGAACTGTCTAACAGTGATACAATAATCGGCGGCTACACAAAATCCATCTTGTACCGTACAAAATCGGCTAGTACGCCAGAATTAGTGCGATGAACCGTATAAAAAGTTCTCCTAACAAGAATCACATTAGCGTGATTAGTTAAAGATAACTTTAAATCGAATTATGTTCAGAAACATTTAACTCCCGAATAGAAGTGTGACAGTTCAAGCTCGTGAACTGTGAGTAAATGTACACTGTTAAAAATCTGTGTTCTTCAAAAAACAAAAAAAATGATCTTCATTTGTCCCCTATGGAGATCATATATGTGTTCTCCAAAGATTTGTACAACAAGAATCTTCAGTTTTCTGAAGAACAAAATCTTTGTTCTTTAAGTTTTTTGATCCCTATAGAGGACAACTTGTTCTTCAGAGAACAGGTTTTTCAAGAACTTCCAAAAAACTGAAGAACAAGGTTTGTGTTCTCTGAAAAAGATGAAGATCACACTTTCTGAAGAACAACACTTTTATTCTTCAGATTTTTTGTTCTCTATAGGGTACAAATTGTTCTCTGAAGAACTCATTTTTTAAGAACTACCAAAAAGTTGAAGAACATAATTTTCGTTCATTAGAGAACAATAATTTTTTTCTTCGCTTTGTTTTACATCTGTTTTACACAAATATCGGCTGAAGAACTCAAATCCTCGCGAGAAAGGTCGAACAGGAAGACTAAAACAAATGATTACAGCTCACAGTCCGGAACTCCTCTTTTACTTCTAAGTTTTCTCTATAGCATAAATGAAAACAAACAGACAAAACGACGATAGAATAGAATCTGAAAGAAGAATAATCATCCAAAAATCAATGGTCTGACAGAGAAGATTTCAA